ATTCTGGAACTTCAGTGGGGAAAGAGAGCTTGAAAGGATTCAATATTCAGTATATATGCTTTTACGTTCCCTTGTTTGGTATATAGTACATTCACTCTCATTATTCACAGTGTTCCCTAGAGCAGTTGTGGGTTTTATCTTTTTCAGAGAGTAGAAGATGGATCTTTGGCTGAAGGCATGGTGGTAGTGATTTACTTACTTCTTAGAAAGACTTTCTAGGGACTTCCCTCGTGGCAAGGTGGTTAAGAGTCTGCCTGCCAATGCAGGGGACTCGGGTTCGAGCCCTGGTCCAGGAAGATCCCACATGCTGTGGAGCAACTAAGTCCGTGTGCCACAACTACTGAGCCTGTGCTCTACAGCCTGCAAGCCACAACTACTGAAGCCCGTGCACCACAACTACTGAAGTCCGTGCACCTAGGGCCCATGCTCTGCAACAAAAGAAGCCACTGCAGTGAGAAGCTGGCGCACCGCAACGAAGAGTAGCTCCCGCTAGCCGCAACCAGAGAAAGCCCAAGTATAGCAATGTAGACTCAACGCAGCCAAAAAGAAAAACAAAACAGACTTTCTAACAACCAGACTCATCTCTACTTTCAAGGTAGCTAGTACCATTAATTTCTGAGCCTTTTGGTAGTTCTGCAATACAATTTGGATTGATTCTTAGCTTTCCACACTGAAAGCCTGGAAATGAGCCCTTTCAAATCTGCTGAATCAATGACTCCATCTAGGGACTTCCCTGGCAGTCCAGTGGCTAAGACCCTGTGCTTCCACTGCAGGGCGGTATAGGTTCTATCCCTGGTCGGGGAACTAAGATACCGCATGCCGCATGGTGCAGCCAACAAACAAAAAACACTCCATCTATTTATCAGAATCCAGAATTTGGTTGCTAAGGTCTCCTGTTCTTTTTGCCTTTCTATGAGCTTTTTAAAAAGATTGTTTTACTGTTGTCTTACTAGGGTATCAAGAAGAAGCAGAGGTAAATATTTTTTGGCAAGAACATGACATGTACAAATCAGAAGATAACTCTTACGGCAATATAAGGGAGACAGAGAGGAGAGAGAACACAAATGGCAGGATAATAATGAAGCAGTAAATTGGATTCTATTTATAATGAAGTTATAGCCATCTATAATTAGCTTTCCAGAGACTTACTGGACACTTGTAATCTCTAGCTCTTTCATGTTTCAGTATGTGCTTTATAAGAGCATATCGTCTCTGAAAAACCATTCCACATTCCCCACATTTATGGGATGCTTCTTCTTCGGTATTCTCTTTAGCATCCCTTTTTGGTTGTTTCATTTTTTTTCCTCTTTGAACTAATTTCTGAGCCACCTAATTAAAGAACAGAAAACACAATCTAAATAAATTAACTATCTCAAATTCACATTATCTTAATATTGGTATTTAAAACATTAAATTGCTTTCCTGCATCCACTCCCCTTCCCCCCAAGATAATTATCACCATAAGTTTAACTGCAGAATGCTTTCAACTTAAAGTTAAAACTACAAAGGTAAACTCTTTTCTCATCATACCTGTTGAACTGCTGACTTGGGAATGGCTTTCCGTTTCTGCAGCTTCTTCTCCATTCCTTTGTGTAGTCGGATATATCCCCCTTCGTTAACAGAACGCTGCCGAAGCCTGCTTCTGTAAGTATCATCATCATCGGGACTATGGTCTGTCTGTGCTGTCGGTTCAACTAGATTTTCCTGATCTTTTAAAGACTGGCCAAGGTTCTGCCTATGCTCTGAAATATCTTCAGCACAGATATCCTCTGTTGCTGTATCATTTCCCATATTACTGTTTTCTGGAGAGCTACTGATTACATTCTCTTTTGAAAGCTCAGGATGAGTATTAGAGACTGTGCCATCTTCTCTGCTGTTTAAAGTTTCTAGTTCTGTCTGGCTGTTTTTTGTTACTAAATCAACAGACTCCATTTCAGGATGGGAATCAGTTACACAGCCTACAGGTGACAGAGCAGCTTCGGTCTGTGAAGAAACCTGGGGCTCAGGCTGTTGTCCTAGCTCTCCATTCTGCTCTGGCAATTCTCCATTCACCAGCAGTACAATTTCACAGTCCCCAAGTTCAGTGGATAAAGTTGTTGTGGTTCCCTCGTTGTTAGCCACAGGAGGTGCTGTACCTCCATTTTGTTCTGGTAAGTCCTGTGTAGATGTAACTGTTTGTACCTCACCCTTCTTATATACTGTTAGCTGCTTCTCTTCCATTAGTTTATGTACGCTTTCACAGATTTCTAAAACTTCTGACATGAAAAGATGACGAGCCAAGATGGCTACATCAGCCATGCTACAGAAGTCAAAACTTAGCACAGAAGTATAGGCAAATTCCAGTAAAGGAAGGAAGCTTGCCTTACAAAAGCCTATGCGAAACAAGAAAGATGAAAGACAAAAAAGTCAAATCACCACTAAAACACCTTGTAGAAACAATTACTGTATGATTATGACAATATAAAATAGAATATAAAGGCAAATATGACCATTTATTCTGCAATTAAATATCCTGGATTTGTTTTGAGTTCTGGTTGCTTATTAAGCCTTGACTAACTAACTTCTATGAGCCGAGTCTCTGAATACCTAAAATAGAAAATAATATCACACTTACTGCCTCAAAGAGTTGTTGTAAGGCAGTCATTTTCAAAATGTACTCCTTAGAACCCCAGGGGTTCCTCAAATTCCCCTCAAGAATCATCTGCTGGAGAATGGAGGGTAAAAAAAGAGAGGGTGGCAGGTGAGTAGGCAGGGTTCAACCAACCTGTCCCCTAACCTCACTGCAGTAAGTATAGCTGTATATTTTAATAATAGAAGTCCATATAAAAATGTGACTGTAAACAGAGGGTTCTACTATTAAAAACTTTAAAACAAGGTCTACAGCAGAAGGTCAGCAAAATTTTTCTGTATAGAATTAGATAATAAAGATTGCAGGCCATAAAGTGTCTGTTGCAACTACTTAATTCTGCCATTGTAGCTGGAAAGAGAAGCCGTATAATATGTATACAAATGGGCATGGCTGTGGTGCAATACAACTTTATTCAGAAAAAGGGAGGGAAAGGAGGACTGGTGGCCTTTGGGTTATAGTTTGCTTATCTTTGTTCTAAGGAATAAGACAATTACTATACACATGAGGTATTAGGTTCTCATTTTATGTGAGAAAATAAGATCAGTTTATTTCTAAGTTCTCAGTACTTCACTTTCGAAACCCATTTTTAAAATTCACATGATTCAAAAATCAGAAGATTACACAGTGGTAAGTCCACTCCATCTCCATAACCAGAATGATTAAGAATTTGTACAGATTTTTAGAGTCTTTATACAGTCAAACAAATACCCTTATGCCTCCTTCTTATAGTAGGTGTTATACTACACATACTTTTCTGTGCCTTGCTTTTCTCATATAATAATTTATCTTAAGAGATCTTTTATTAAAATACAGGGAGCCAAAGCAACCTTTTAAAAACTCACGTTTGGGAATTCCCTGCTGGCTCAGTGGTTAGGACTCTGCGCTTCTGCTGCAGGGGGAACGGGTTCAATCCCCGGTGAGGGAACTAAGATCCCGCAAGACATGCAGCATGGCCAGAAAACCCCCAAAACCAAAAAACTCATGTTTGCTGTGTTTTTCAGTTTTGACTCAAGATACATAAAATGTGGTCCTTTTACATAGGCAAATAGTGGATAAACAAGTAACAAGCATACAGGGAAACCTTAAACTGTGAGATATACTAGGATTCAGGTTGAAAGCTAGGGAGACTACATATCAACATGACCATCATAGCTAATTCAGCCATTCCTAGGAAAGCTGATAATCAAGCAGGCTAAAGTCATATTAATACTGCTACAAATTATGAAACCGGGTTAAATAAGGTTGAGGTAAGAAAGAATATTTCTTAAAAAAAAACAACAGATACCAACAAAATAATGTATTTTGCTCTTTTACCTAGTACCTTTTTAATTTCTAAGTTGAAGTGATAAGAAAAATTTTCCATGAAAGAAATAACACTGCTCCAAGTAGCTTTAAATATCAAAAACCATTTCTTCCCCAAAGATACAAGTCAAATGTTTACTGTAAAATGCTACAAAACACAAAAGAAAATAAGATAAAAAACCCACTCCTAATCCTATTGTCGCAAGATAATTTTCATATTTTGTTTTTACTCCTAGCCTTTTTATGTACACATACACACACTCTGGAAAACATTTTAATCAAAATAAAAGGGGCGGGACTTTCCTGGTGGCACAGTGCTTAAGAATCCGCCTGCCAATGCCGGGAACACAGGTTTGATCCCTGGTCCGGGAAGATCCCACATGCCGCGGAGCAACTAAGCCCATGAGCCACAACTACTGAGCCTGCACCCTAGAACCTGCGAGCCACAACTATTTGAGCCTGCGTGTCACAACTACTGAAGCCCGCGTGCCTAGAGCCTGTGCTCCACAACAAGAAAAGCCACTGCAATGAGAAACCCGTGCACCCCAACAAAGGGTAGCCCCAACTCGCCACAACTCGAGAAAGCCCACACATAGCAACGAAGACTCAATGCAGCCAAAAATAAATAAATAAATAAATTTATTAAAAAAAAAAGAGACATGACACCTTACAATTCCTAGAAAAGAACATAGGCCAAACATACTCTGACATAAATTGTACCAATGTTTTCGTAGGTCAGTCGCCCAAGGCAATAGACATAAAAGCAAAAATAAACAAATGGGACTTAAACTTACAAGCTTCTGCATAGCAAAGCAAACCATAAACAAAATGAAAAGACAATCTATGGAATGGGAGAAAATATTTGCAAGAGATGTGACCGACAAGTGCTTAATCTCCAAAATATACAAACAGATCATACAATTCAACAAAAACAAAAACAAACAACCCAATCAAAAAATGGGCAGAAGAACTAAATAGACATTTCTGCAAAGAAAACACAAAGATGGCAAATAGGTTTATGAAAAAATGCTCAAGGGACTTCCCTGGTGGTCCAGTAGCTGGAACTCCACACTCCCAATGCAGAGGGCCTGGGTTTGACTCCTGGTTGGGCAACTAGATTCCACATGCTGCAACTAACAGTTTGCATGGCACAACTAAAAATCCTGCATGCTGCAAGACCTGGCACAGCCAAATAAATAAATATTAAAAAAAAAAGAATGCTCATCATTGCTAATTATTAGAGAAGTGAAAATTAAAACTACAATGAGGTACCACCTCACACTGGTCAAAATGGCCATCATTAAAAGTTTACAAATGGGTGCTTGGAGGGGAAAGATGGCAGAAGATTAAGACGCGGAGATCACCTTCCTCCCTACAGATACATCAGAAATACATCTACACGTGGAACAACTCCTACAAAACACCTACTGAACGCTGGCAGAAGACCTCAGACCTCCCAAAAGGCACGAAACTCCCCCCATACCTGGGTAGGGCAAAAGAAAAAAGAATAAACAGAGACAAAAGAATAGGGACGGGACCTGCACCAGTGGGAGGGAGCTGTGAAGGAGGAAAGGTTTCCACACACTAGAAGCCCCTTCACTGGCGGAGACAGCGGGGGGCGGAGGTGGGGGAGCTTTGGAGCCGCTCAGGAGAGCGCAGCCACAGGGGTGCAGAGGGCAAAGCGGAGAGATTTCCGCACAGAGGATCGATGCTGACCAGAACTCATCAGCCCGAGAGGCTTGTCAGCTCACCTGGGAGCTGAGGATCCGGCTTCAGTCAAGAGTGCAGGGAGAGGACTGGCGGCGTGAACAGAGCCTGAAGGGGTTAGTGCACCACGGCTAGCCAAGAGGGAGTCCGGGAAAAAGTCTGGAGCTGCTGAAGAGGCAAGAAGACTTTTTCTTCCCTCTTTGTTTCCTGGTGCGCGAGGAGAGGGGATTAAGAGCGCCGCTTAAAGGAGCTCCAGAGACGGGCGCGAGCGGACCACAGAGATGGGCATGAGACGCTAAGGCTGCGGCTGCTGCCACCAAGAAGCCTGTGTTTGAGCACAGGTTACTATCCACACCCCCCTTCCGGGGAGCCTGTGTAGCCCGCCATTGCCAGGGTCCCGGGATCCAGGGACAACTTCCCCGGGAGAACGCACGGCGCGCCTCAGGCTGGTACAACATCACGCTGGTCTCTGCCGCCGCAGGCTCGCCCCGCACTCCATACCCCTCCCTCCCCCCGGCCTGAGTGAGCCGGAGCCCCCGAATCAGCGGCTCCTTTAACCCCGTCCTGTCTGAGCGAAAAGCCAAATCCAAAGCTGAGCCCCTGGGAGCTGTGAGAACAAAGAAGAGAAAGGGAAATCTCTCCCAGCAGCCTCAGAAGCAGCTGAGAACAAAAGAGAAAGGGAAATCTCTCCCAGCAGCCTCAGAAGCAGCGAATTAAAGCTCCAAAATCAACTTGATGTACCCTGCATCTGTGCAATACCTGAATAGACAACGAATCATCCCAAATCGAGGAGGTGGCCTTTGAGAGCAAGATTTATTATTTTTTCCCCTTTTCCTCTTTCTGTAGGTATGTGTATGCTTCCGTGTGAGATTTTGTCTGTAGAGCTTTGCTTTCACCATTTGTCCTAGCGTTCTATTGGTCCGGATTTTTTGTTGTTGTTGTTTTTCTACTTAAAAGAATTTTTTTTTAATAATTATTTTATTTTAATAACTTTATTTTATTTTACCTTACTTTATTTTCTTTTATCCTTCCTTCCTTCCTTCCTTCCTCTCTTTCTTTCTTTCTACTTTTTCTCCCTTTTATTCTGAGCCATGTGGATGAAAGGCTCTTGGTGCTAGAGCCAGGAGTCAGTGCTGTGCCTCTGAGGTGGGAGAGCCAACTTCCGGACACTGGTCCACAAGGGACCTCCCAGCTCCACATAATATCAAACGGCAAAAGTCTCCCAGAGATCTCCATCTCAACACCAACACCCAGCTTCACTCAACGCACAACAAGCTACAGTGCTGGACACCCTATGCCAAACAACTAGCAAGACAGGAACACAACCCCACCCATTAGCAGAGAGGCTGCCTAAAATCATAGTAAGTCCACAGACACCCCAAAACACACCACAAAAGGTGGACATGCCCACCAGAAAGACAAGATCCAGCCTCATCCACCAGAACATAGGCACTAGTCCCCTCCACCAGGAAGCCTCCACAACCCAATGAACCAACTTTAGCCACTGGGGACAGACACCAAAAACAATGGGAACTATGAACCTGCAGCCTGCAAAAAGGAGACCCCAAACACAGTTAAGATAAACAAAATGAGAAGACAGAAAAACACACAGCAGATGAAAGAGCAAGATAAAAACCCACCAGACCTAACAAATGAAGAGGAAATAGGCAGTCTACCTGAAAAAGAACTCAGAATAATGATAGTAAAGATGATCCAACATCTTGGAAACAGAAT